TTCTCCCGGACTCCGAGCTTCAGCATCCATGATTGGATGAGCTGTCTGAGGCGAAATCCTTTTTTGATTGACAGCTTAACAAGCAAAACAGTGATCTTGAAGAATAAAACATCTACCAGAGCATTTTCCGAGTTATTCATTCCGTTGTTCTTAACTGCTCCGGAGACTTTACCGATCCTCAGCGACTTTTGTCTTTGTTAAAAACGACTGCCGTTGTGTTTGGCGACTCTGTTCTACAAATAAACAAACACAATTATGATGTAGGCCAGAAAAATGAGCTTCCCCTCCTTGAAAGACCAGCAGCCGCCACTGAATACAATACAATACAATACAAAACAAAACTGTCAGCCGGCAGCATGCAGCATGCAACATACAGACATGCAACACAGAACAGAACAAGATCAAAAGAAACAACAACCATAACAGCAGCAAAAGGGAAAACAGCAAAAGGCAAGAAGGAGAAGGACAAAAGAAAAGAAAGGAAAGGAGGAAAAACAAAAGGGGGGGGGGGGGGGTAAAATATGAATAAGATCAACAAGGTAAATATGAATGTCTTGGTAATACAGTGCATCAAATAAAGGGTCAGATCAGCTTTGTCGACCAAATTGGACACATGCAAGGGTGATGAGTCAGGCGCATGTACAGGAGAAGGTGTAGTAAGAGGTAACATATGGAATGATGTGATTGTTCAAATATTTGTTGGCAAATTGTTCCAATCTGATGGGGCTTTGAACTTAAAGGCTTTTTTACCTACGGCCTTGGAGACTGGTGGAACAATAAAGTAGGGCTGGGCGATGTGCCTCAATGGATAACTAGTGGAAAATGGTTGAAGTAGTTGTTTGAGATATGCTGGATAATTGAGGTGTATACATTTGAAAATAAACTGTGACCAGTGACACTGTCTTCGTATTGCTAAAGAGGGCAACTGGAGATTTTCATACATAGTGCAGTGGTGGGTGGTGAAAAAACAGCCTAGGATGCACCTTCCCATTTTCTGAGCCCTAAGCAGTCAGTCAGAGTTTGGCTTCGAGTCATCAGTGCTCAAGTCCAAGTTGAGCCCCAAGACCAGATAATCAGGACTCAACTTGGACTTCAAGTCCAACACTCAATACTACAACACCGGCTCAACTACAGCTAATTTATTTGAGTATAGAGCCAGTGTAAGGCTGGTGGAAATGGCCTAAAAATGATCATCACTGATTTTTTTCAGAACAAACGCAATTTGCAACTTAAATAGATTTTTCTTTTCTTATTAAAAATAATAAAGAGAAATGACAAAGAAATTACACAAGACAAGTATTTAGCCCCTGCAGGATTATACCACCTCTGTGATTATCAGGGAAGCAAGCTGATTGGAGTCAGATGCTTTTCAGAGCTCAACTACCATGAATAAAAAACATTGTCAAACTCATGTGAAGCTGCATAGTTGGACTAGTCCATTGTTTGTTACAATGGACTAAAAGGACACCCCTGTCAGCTCATTGGTGACCTTTTCAAACACACAGTTATACTGATGAGGCCACTGTTTTACGCATTTGGGAAAACCAAGGCTTTCTCGCTGTATGTATGAGCAAACATTTTAAGTGTTGAGCACTGCGTCTGTAACAGCTTTCCACTGTTTTCCTTCCTTGTCATACGTAACACAATAGAAAACCGATTCCACTAATATCGGCTGCTTTTTAGTGGGTGTTTTGCATCTCAGGGGTCTTGTGCATCTCATGGTGGGACACATTGGCTGTTTGCCTCTCTTTCAGACTGTGAAATACAGTTAATTGGTTGTGTTGTCCTTACCTGCAATAGGCTCTACTGTGGACTGTGACTGTTTGAAATCTGATGCCGCAAATATAAACCAGTTCCAAATGCATGATTGTGCCTTTTTTGGCAACAAACTCTTCATTAGTGCTGGCAGCCACGCTGTGCTTGTGTGTATCTCTGTAGAAAGTAAAGCAAGGGGGAGGGTGTAAACTGTAGGAGCCCAAGAAGAGCAGCTGAGAAAGTTTAGATGAAGAATCTGGAAAATTTTCCTACCCTAGAGATTTGATTGTTTAAATGGATTAATCTCCTAGACCCTAACAGTGGGAGTAGACTCACAACCTTTTTATTGATAACCCAGTATCCTATCATTGATAAAACAAGCAGTGTTTTAGCTAAACACCTTCTCTACAGGTACTCAGAGAATCAACGATATGAAGTATTTATACTATATTCTCAAAGTTTGTACATCTAAGCCACTCTTCAGCCTCTAGTGTGTAATTCACCTCTTTAAGGACAGCTGTTGAGCTTGTTTTCTTTTACACTTGAACCAAAGCTCCGGGATCAGTGTCATGCAATTAGATAGATCATGTCTACAGGCGTGCCTGAGGGGGGGCTCTTTAAGCACATCAATAAATGCTGCTTTGAAATACATTCAAGGCCAAGAAAAGTAGCTAGGCTGAGTTTCATAACCAATTTCAGTCCTGACGGTATACCAGAGCAGGATCCTTCACATGAGTTGATGGCTGCCTCTGCTGTGTGAGCATAGTATTAGATGTTCAGAAGACACAGGAAACCGCCAATTATGACATGGTGTTCCAACACACTGGGCTCAGGATTTACAGTGGATAATAAGAGGACACATACTAGCCTCCAGCAATCCTAGGAGCTGTCACATTGATGCAGTATATCAGACTAAGTGTTCAGAGCACATAATTCCCTGGATTCTGCCACAGAAATGAAAAAAAACAAAACATGTAAAGGTTTTTTTACTCCTTTCAGCAAGAGATAACAAGAAAACTTTTTATATACAGTATATTTATACGTGTAAAAAACTTGAACCAGGGGAATCAAATACAATGTTTGATCTTGTGAGTCGTGCTCCTGCTCAGCTATGTGTGAGACTTGTGTGTGTGTGAGACTTGTGTGTGTGTGTGTGTGTGTGTGTGTGTGTGTGTGTGTGTGTGTGGGGTTTTTTTTTTTTTTTTTTGTGAATCAGTGCATTTCTGGAAGATGATAAGCCAGGGATTTAGGCCATGAGGCAATCACCCCCGTTCTACATATATTATGGAGTGAGATTTCTTCTGGCTGTTGCTTGCTGTCCATCAGATTTTTTATCTTTTTATTTAACATTTATAAAGGTATACAACATTCAGGTGATGCTTTACTACATACACTTGACAGTCCTCCCATCTTAACTTGACATTACCCTTGGCTTTTTTTTTCTTTTTTCACGTAAGTCCCTTCCTATAAATCTTAAATCTGTCCTGATTAGAGGCTTTTCTAGTTACCTCTATACATACATACCAAATTACATTACTTCTGCTGCATCCAGACACATATCTGTGAATACACACACAAACCAAATACTACACATTTATTACCAAAACAATATCCAAAGATGTACCAATATTTAGATATATTCCCACATGTACTGACTAGAAATGCCTGTCCAAACATATCTGAATAAATATGAATGAATAAAAATAAAAAAACAATTAAAAAATAATAAGAATAGAGGTGACTAGAGACCAGGCATTGCCTGAATTACTCAAGACCATTTTCTATAAAATCTGTCTGATTTTAACTGTGGCCTTTCTGTAAATTTTCCAGTCAGAACTTTCCTTAGTCTTTATCTCCATTTTGAAAAGCGAGGTAGGTTCAGCCAGGGTGTTGTTATTGTTTTCTTTGCAACCATCAGAATTCTTGAAGTAAATCTTACAGAGAAAATGGACTCGGCGTATATCTTTAGCAGAGCCGCACTCGCCTCGCTTCTGAGACGGAGCTGTGACATGTTCTGTGTGCGATGCTGCATTGTTTAGAATGGAACGCACCCGACGCAGATCCTGAATGTTTTAGGCTTTATAGCTATAAGTTTTCGGTTATTGAACATGAAAGTGACAGCAGCCTAAATGTAAATAACAGATTTAAATGAGCCTGTCATGAGCTCATATGGCAATTTGAGGGATTTGCTTCATTACAGGATAACTGACAATTTTTGGACCTGGACTTCTTTGCTTCTACCTCCTTTAGTGACAGGCTTCATCACCTGCGGTGTGTTACAGAGAGATTCTGCAAGTCCTTCCTGCTGCAGTCAGGCCGATTGACCAGACGTGCTCCAGTAGTCCAGGTTTTTAGCACAACTTACGGACAATAACGCAATGCTACCTCTATGTGCAATATTGACATAAATTTTTCTACCTACATAAACAGCTCATAATGTGCAATTACATGTCCGATTTGTTCACTGTGTAGAGCCGTTTTAGTTTTTTGCTGTTACCAACATTTTTTCTCTTTTTGTATATAACATTTTTGATATAAGTCGAAGTTAACTTTTTATAAGTATCTGTATACTGTGTGCATGATGGAAGTAATTATTCCTCTATGTTTGCTCTGGTGATCATTTGCTGCTGTTCACAATGCAAATTTCCCCACTGTGGGATGAATAATGGTTTATCTTTTTTATCTCGTATTAAATGAGTGCTGGATGAAAGCTGATTCATGGAAAGCTGATTGGAAGGTAAAGTGTGATAAAAAGTAAAGATGCACAAGCAACAGGGATGAGTGCAGTCTTAAGGGGATTGTCCAGCGAAACAGATTCAAGAGCTTAGAGGAGCTTCCAAGGTGAGAATTCAAGGTGCTTGAAGTCCAGTGTTAACTTTTTCACAGTCTGCAATGATTTTGGGTGTCATCTCATCTGCTGCTTTTGGCCGACTGTGTTTTATTAAGTCCTGAGTCAACGCAGCCTCAAGTCTACCAGGAGATTTCAGAACACTTCATGTTTACATCTGCTAAGAACCTTTACAGAGATACAGATTTTCTTTTCCAGTACGACCTGGCACCTGCCCACAGTGCCATAACTACCATAAAACTGGTTTGTTGATCATGGTATTGCTATGCTTGATTGGCCAGGCAACTAGCCTGACCTGAAATCCTTACAGAATCTGTGAGGTATTGTCAAGAGATAGATCCAACAATACAGAACCAGAACCGACAATACAGACCAACTGAAAGAGGTATCAAAGTGAGTTGGGCTTCTACTACACCCCTGCAGAGCCATAGACTGATCATCTCTGTGGGACATCCATAAACTGTATATAGAATGAACTATAGCGTCTGCCTCCTTGCTGGGTGAAGCCACCCCGAGAACAGCACCCTCTGTTGATGGGCTGCAGAATAGGTCATAAATCCCGCCTCCGCCAGCAAAGCTTAAGTGGATATGTGGATAAACTTTAGAAATTTATTACACAGAACATAAATTTTTCTCCCCCCTGCTTGCAATGTTGACATGTAGTTACAGTAAGACTGGTTTGTGCTCAAGTCCTCTTTTTTCTGTGAAGCTCCGTTTTTAAAAGTTATTAGGGGATTCATGTTTTCTTTGATTGACACCTGATACAGCCTATGGGCGTTCAGGGATTGTGTAGCTCACACGGGGGATGCGCTGTTTGAGCCAAGCGTCATCACAGCGACACTCGGCGACTCTCATGCTGAATGCGCTCAACGCTACTGCGCAATGCTGGTTTCAGGAAATGAAGAAAAATCATGGAAATACTGAGAGCTTTTTGGCTTCAAATCCGTATACAGGCGGGAGGCAGGGCCAAGTTGTCCATATTATATACAGTCTATGGGGACGTCACATTGATGCTGTAATTCATGCAAAAGGAACCTTGACCAAGTACTGAGAACATAAAGAAACATCATTTTCTAAGGTCAGCATTTCTCAAATGCAGCACTTACTGGAATGTCATCCCTCTCTCCTCTAGATCCTTGCTCATGTTGTACCTACTCTCAGATGTATGTTTCCTTGGACATATGTGTCTCTTATGAAGTTGTAAAGATATTGATCATAATTGAGATTTGCATACAGCATCCATTTTGAATGTATTTGTTTCTGTCCTTTTTGTAGCCTCTTTTGATGAAATCCTTTTGTGCCACTTTGTCCAATGAACCAACTCCCGAGTCCCTAGGACGTTCCTCAAAAAAGTTTATTTTTTCCCATAGGAATGCATGGGAACAAAAAAATTGAAAAATTTTCCAAGTGCCGACCCAATTTTTCACCTTCCAGAATTGTGTTAGGAGCACGTTTCAGGCCACGGGGAGTCTATAGAACCTAATTCTGGGGGACGTTTTTTGAAAAGTTTACTTAGGGTTAGGGTTAGAGTTAGGGTTGGGGTTAGGGTTAGGGTTAGGGTTAGAGCTAGGGTTAGGGTTAGGGTTGGAGCTAGGGTTAGGGTTGGAACTAGGGTTAGGGTTAGGGTTGGGGTTGGAGCTAGGGTTAGGGTTAGGGTTGGAGCTAGGGTTAGGGGTAGGGTTAGGGTTAGGGGTAAGGGTTGGAGCTAGGGTTAGGGTTGGAGCTAGGGTAAGGGTTAGGGTTAGGGTTGGGGTTGGAGCTAGGGTTAGGGGTAGGCTTAGGGTTAGGGTTGGAGCTAGGGTTAGGTTTAGGGTTGGGGTTGGAGCTAGGGTTAGGGTTAAGGTTGGAGCTAGGGTTAGGGTTAGGGTTGGAGCTAGGGTTAGGGTTAGGGTTGGGGTTGGAGCTAGGGTTAGGGTTAGGGTTAAGGTTGGAGCTAGGGTTAGGGTTAGGGTTAAGGTTGGAGCTAGGGTTAGGGTTAGAGCAAGGGTCAGGGTTAGGGTTAGGATTGGAGCTAGGGTTAGGGTTAGGGTTGGGCTTGGAGCTAAGATTTTTCTGAGTGCAATGAACCAACTCCCGAGTCGCTAGGACGTTCCTAAAAAAAAATTGATTTTTTCCCATAGGAATGCATGGGTTAGGGTTAGGGTTAGGGTTGGAGCTAGGGTTAGGGTTAGGGTTAGGGTTGGAGTTAGGGTTAGTGTTGGAGCTAGGGTTAGGGTTGGGCTTGGAGCTAGGATTTTTCTGAGTGCAATGAACCAACTCCCGAGTCTCTAGGACATTCCTAAAAAAATTTGATTTTTTCCCATAGGAATGCATGGGTTAGGGTTAGGGTTAGGGTTGGAGCTAGGGTTAGGGTTAGGGTTAGGGTTGGAGTTAGGGTTAGTGTTGGAGCTAGGGTTAGGGTTGGGCTTGGAGCTAGGATTTTTCTGAGTGCAATGAACCAACTCCCGAGTCTCTAGGACGTTCCTAAAAAAATTTGATTTTTTCCCATAGTAATGCATGGGTTAGGGTTAGGGTTAGGGTTGGAGCTAGGGTTAGGGTTAGGGTTAGGGTTGGAGTTAGGGTTAGTGTTGGAGCTAGGGTTAGGGTTGGGCTTGGAGCTAGGATTTTTCTGAGTGCAATGAACCAACTCCCGAGTCTCTAGGACGTTCCTAAAAAAATTTGATTTTTTCCCATAGGAATGCATAGGTTAGGGTTAGGGTTAGGGTTGGAGCTAGGGTTAGGGTTAGGGTTAGGGTTGGAGTTAGGGTTAGTGTTGGAGCTAGGGTTAGGGTTGGGCTTGGAGCTAGGATTTTTCTGAGTGCAATGAACCAACTCCCGAGTCTCTAGGACCTTCCTAAAAAAATTTGATTTTTTCCCATAGGAATGCATGGGTTAGGGTTAGGGTTAGGGTTGGAGCTAGGGTTAGGGTTAGGGTTAGGGTTGGAATTAGGGTTAGTGTTGGAGCTAGGGTTAGGGTTGGGCTTGGAGCTAGGATTTTTCTGAGTGCAATGAACCAACTCCCGAGTCGCTAGGACGTTCCTAAAAAAATTTGATTTTTTCCCATAGTAATGCATGGGTTAGGGTTAGGGTTAGGGTTGGAGCTAGGGTTAGGGTTAGGGTTAGGGTTGGAGTTAGGGTTAGTGTTGGAGCTAGGGTTAGGGTTGGGCTTGGAGCTAGGATTTTTCTGAGTGCAATGAACCAACTCCCGAGTCTCTAGGACGTTCCTAAAAAAATTTGATTTTTTCCCATAGGAATGCATGGGTTAGGGTTAGGGTTAGGGTTGGAGCTAGGGTTAGGGTTAGGGTTAGGGTTGGAGTTAGGGTTAGTGTTGGAGCTAGGGTTAGGGTTGGGCTTGGAGTTAGGATTTTTCTGAGTGCACTGAACCAACTCCCGAGTCTCTAGGACGTTCCTAAAAAATTTGATTTTTTCCCATAGGAATGCATGGGTTAGGGTTAGGGTTAGGGTTAGGGTTGGAGCTAGGGTTAGGGTTAGGGTTAGGGTTGGAGTTAGGGTTAGTGTTGGAGCTAGGGTTAGGGTTGGGCTTGGAGCTAGGATTTTTCTGAGTGCAATGAACCAACTCCCGAGTCTCTAGGACGTTCCTAAAAAAATTTGATTTTTTCCCATAGTAATGCATGGGTTAGGGTTAGGGTTAGGGTTGGAGCTAGGGTTAGGGTTAGGGTTAGGGTTGGAGTTAGGGTTAGTGTTGGAGCTAGGGTTAGGGTTGGGCTTGGAGCTAGGATTTTTCTGAGTGCACTGAACCAACTCCCAAGTCTCTAGGACGTTCCTAAAAAAATTTGATTTTTTCCCATAGGAATGCATGGGTTAGGGTTAGGGTTAGGGTTGGAGCTAGGGTTAGGGTTAGGGTTAGGGTTGGAGTTTGGGTTAGTGTTGGAGCTAGGGTTAGGGTTGGGCTTGGAGCTAGGATTTTTCGGAGTGCAATGAACCAACTCCCGAGTCTCTAGGACGTTCCTAAAAAAATTTGATTTTTTCCCATAGGAATGCATGGGTTAGGGTTAGGGTTAGGGTTGGAGCTAGGGTTAGGGTTAGGGTTAGGGTTGGAGTTAGGGTTAGTGTTGGAGCTAGGGTTAGGGTTGGGCTTGGAGCTAGGATTTTTCTGAGTGCAATGAACCAACTCCCGAGTCTCTAGGACATTCCTAAAAAAATTTGATTTTTTCCCATAGGAATGCATGGGTTAGGGTTAGGGTTAGGGTTAGGGTTGGAGCTAGGGTTAGGGTTAGGGTTAGGGTTGGAGTTAGGGTTAGTGTTGGAGCTAGGGTTAGGGTTGGGCTTGGAGCTAGGATTTTTCTGAGTGCAATGAACCAACTCCCGAGTCTCTAGGACGTTCCTAAAAAAATTTGATTTTTTCCCATAGGAATGCATGGGTTAGGGTTAGGGTTAGGGTTGGAGCTAGGGTTAGGGTTAGGGTTAGGGTTGGAGTTAGGGTTAGTGTTGGAGCTAGGGTTAGGGTTGGGCTTGGAGCTAGGATTTTTCTGAGTGCAATGAACCAACTCCCAAGTCTCTAGGACGTTCCTAAAAAAATTTGATTTTTTCCCATAGGAATGCATGGGTTAGGGTTAGGGTCAGGGTTAGGGTTGGAGCAAGGGTTAGGGTTAGGGTTAGGGTTGGAGTTAGGGTTAGTGTTGGAGCTAGGGTTAGGGTTGGGCTTGGAGCTAGGATTTTTCTGAGTGCAATGAACCAACTCCCGAGTCTCTAGGACGTTCCTAAAAAAATTTGATTTTTTTCCCATAGGAATGCATGGGTTAGGGTTAGGGTTAGGGTTGGAGCTAGGGTTAGGGTTAGGGTAAGGGTTGGAGTTTGGGTTAGTGTTGGAGCTAGGGTTAGGGTTGGGCTTGGAGCTAGGATTTTTCTGAGTGCAATGAACCAACTCCCGAGTCTCTAGGACATTCCTAAAAAAATTTGATTTTTTCCCATAGGAATGCATGGGTTAGGGTTAGGGTTAGGGTTGGAGCTAGGGTTAGGGTTAGGGTTAGGGTTGGAGTTAGGGTTAGTGTTGGAGCTAGGGTTAGGGTTGGGCTTGGAGCTAGGATTTTTCTGAGTGCAATGAACCAACTCCCGAGTCTCTAGGACGTTCCTAAAAAAATTTGATTTTTTCCCATAGGAATGCATGGGTTAGGGTTAGGGTTAGGGTTGGAGCTAGGGTTAGGGTTAGGGTTAGGGTTGGAGTTAGGGTTAGTGTTGGAGCTAGGGTTAGGGTTGGGCTTGGAGCTAGGATTTTTCTGAGTGCAATGAACCAACTCCCAAGTCTCTAGGACGTTCCTAAAAAAATTGATTTTTTCCCATAGGAATGCATGGGTTAGGGTTAGGGTCAGGGTTAGGGTTGGAGCAAGGGTTAGGGTTAGGGTTAGGGTTGGAGTTAGGGTTAGTGTTGGAGCTAGGGTTAGGGTTGGGCTTGGAGCTAGGATTTTTCTGAGTGCAATGAACCAACTCCCGAGTCTCTAGGACGTTCCTAAAAAAATTTGATTTTTTCCCATAGGAATGCATGGGTTAGGGTTAGGGTTAGGGTTAGGGTTGGAGCTAGGGTTAGGGTTAGGGTTAGGGTTGGAGTTAGGGTTAGTGTTGGAGCTAGGGTTAGGGTTGGGCTTGGAGCTAGGATTTTTCTGAGTGCAATGAACCAACTCCCGAGTCTCTAGGACGTTCCTAAAAAAATTTGATTTTTTCCCATAGGAATGCATGGGTTAGGGTTAGGGTTAGGGTTGGAGCTAGGGTTAGGGTTAGGGTAAGGGTTGGAGTTTGGGTTAGTGTTGGAGCTAGGGTTAGGGTTGGGCTTGGAGCTAGGATTTTTCTGAGTGCACTGAACCAACTCCCAAGTCTCTAGGACGTTCCTAAAAAAATTTGATTTTTTCCCATAGGAATGCATGGGTTAGGGTTAGGGTTAGGGTTGGAGCTAGGGTTAGGGTTAGGGTTAGGGTTGGAGTTAGGGTTAGTGTTGGAGCTAGGGTTAGGGTTGGGCTTGGAGCTAGGATTTTTCGGAGTGCAATGAACCAACTCCCGAGTCTCTAGGACGTTCCTAAAAAAATTTGATTTTTTCCCATAGGAATGCATGGGTTAGGGTTAGGGTTAGGGTTGGAGCTAGGGTTAGGGTTAGGGTTAGGGTTGGAGTTAGGGTTAGTGTTGGAGCTAGGGTTAGGGTTGGGCTTGGAGCTAGGATTTTTCTGAGTGCAATGAACCAACTCCCGAGTCTCTAGGACATTCCTAAAAAATTTGTTTTTTTCCCATAGGAATGCATGGGTTAGGGTTAGGGTTAGGGTTGGAGCTAGGGTTAGGGTTAGGGTTGGAGTTAGGGTTAGTGTTGGAGCTAGGGTTAGGGTTGGGCTTGGAGCTAGGATTTTTCGGAGTGCAATGAACCAACTCCCGAGTCTCTAGGACGTTCCTAAAAAAATTTGATTTTTTCCCATAGGAATGCATGGGTTAGGGTTAGGGTTAGGGTTGGAGCTAGGGTTAGGGTTAGGGTTAGGGTTGGAGTTAGGGTTAGTGTTGGAGCTAGGGTTAGGGTTGGGCTTGGAGCTAGGATTTTTCTGAGTGCAATGAACCAACTCCCGAGTCTCTAGGACATTCCTAAAAAAATTTGATTTTTTCCCATAGGAATGCATGGGTTAGGGTTAGGGTTAGGGTTGGAGCTAGGGTTAGGGTTAGGGTTAGGGTTGGAGTTAGGGTTAGTGTTGGAGCTAGGGTTAGGGTTGGGCTTGGAGCTAGGATTTTTCTGAGTGCAATGAACCAACTCCCGAGTCTCTAGGACGTTCCTAAAAAAATTTGATTTTTTCCCATAGGAATGCATGGGTTAGGGTTAGGGTTAGGGTTGGAGCTAGGGTTAGGGTTAGGGTTAGGGTTGGAGTTAGGGTTAGTGTTGGAGCTAGGGTTAGGGTTGGGCTTGGAGCTAGGATTTTTCTGAGTGCAATGAACCAACTCCCAAGTCTCTAGGACGTTCCTAAAAAAATTTGATTTTTTCCCATAGGAATGCATGGGTTAGGGTTAGGGTCAGGGTTAGGGTTGGAGCAAGGGTTAGGGTTAGGGTTAGGGTTGGAGTTAGGGTTAGTGTTGGAGCTAGGGTTAGGGTTGGGCTTGGAGCTAGGATTTTTCTGAGTGCAATGAACCAACTCCCGAGTCTCTAGGACGTTCCTAAAAAAATTTGATTTTTTCCCATAGGAATGCATGGGTTAGGGTTAGGGTTAGGGTTAGGGTTGGAGCTAGGGTTAGGGTTAGGGTTAGGGTTGGAGTAAGGGTTAGTGTTGGAGCTAGGGTTAGGGTTGGGCTTGGAGCTAGGATTTTTCTGAGTGCAATGAACCAACTCCCGAGTCTCTAGGACGTTCCTAAAAAAATTTGATTTTTTCCCATAGGAATGCATGGGTTAGGGTTAGGGTTAGGGTTGGAGCTAGGGTTAGGGTTAGGGTAAGGGTTGGAGTTTGGGTTAGTGTTGGAGCTAGGGTTAGGGTTGGGCTTGGAGCTAGGATTTTTCTGAGTGCACTGAACCAACTCCCAAGTCTCTAGGACGTTCCTAAAAAATTTGATTTTTTCCCATAGGAATGCATGGGTTAGGGTTAGGGTTAGGGTTGGAGCTAGGGTTAGGGTTAGGGTTAGGGTTGGAGTTTGGGTTAGTGTTGGAGCTAGGGTTAGGGTTGGGCTTGGAGCTAGGATTTTTCGGAGTGCAATGAACCAACTCCCGAGTCTCTAGGACGTTCCTAAAAAAATTTGATTTTTTCCCATAGGAATGCATGGGTTAGGGTTAGGGTTAGGGTTGGAGCTAGGGTTAGGGTTAGGGTTAGGGTTGGAGTTAGGGTTAGTGTTGGAGCTAGGGTTAGGGTTGGGCTTGGAGCTAGGATTTTTCTGAGTGCAATGAACCAACTCCCGAGTCTCTAGGACATTCCTAAAAAAATTGATTTTTTCCCATAGGAATGCATGGGTTAGGGTTAGGGTTAGGGTTGGAGCTAGGGTTAGGGTTAGGGTTAGGGTTGGAGTTAGGGTTAGTGTTGGAGCTAGGGTTAGGGTTGGGCTTGGAGCTAGGATTTTTCGGAGTGCAATGAACCAACTCCCGAGTCTCTAGGACGTTCCTAAAAAATTTTTATTTTTTCCCATAGGAATGCATGGGTTAGGGTTAGGGTTAGGGTTGGAGCTAGGGTTAGGGTTAGGGTTAGGGTTGGAGTTAGGGTTAGTGTTGGAGCTAGGGTTAGGGTTGGGCTTGGAGCTAGGATTTTTCTGAGTGCAATGAACCAACTCCCGAGTCTCTAGGACGTTCCTAAAAAAATTAGATTTTTTACCATAGGAATGCATGGGTTAGGGTTAGGGTTAGGGTTGGAGCTAGGGTTAGGGTTAGGGTTAGGGTTGGAGTTAGGGTTAGTGTTGGAGCTAGGGTTAGGGTTGGGCTTGGAGCTAGGATTTTTCTGAGTGCAATGAACCAACTCCCGAGTCTCTAGGACGTTCCTAAAAAAATTTGATTTTTTCCCATAGGAATGCATGGGTTAGGGTTAGGGTTAGGGTTGGAGCTAGAGTTAGGGTTAGGGTTAGGGTTGGAGTTAGGGTTAGTGTTGGAGCTAGGGTTAGGGTTGGGCTTGGAGCTAGGATTTTTCTGAGTGCACTGAACCAACTCCCGAGTCTCTAGGACGTTCCTAAAAAAATTTGATTTTTTCCCATAGGAATGCATGGGTTAGGGTTAGGGTTAGGGTTGGAGCTAGGGTTAGGGTTAGGGTTAGGGTTGGAGTTAGGGTTAGTGTTGGAGTTAGGGTTAGGGTTGGGCTTGGAGCTAGGATTTTTCTGAGTGCACTGAACCAACTCCCGAGTCTCTAGGACGTTCCTAAAAAAATTTGATTTTTTCCCATAGGAATGCATGGGTTAGGGTTAGGGTCAGGGTTAGGGTTGGAGCTAGGGTTAGGGTTAGGGTTAGGGTTGGAGTTAGGGTTAGTGTTGGAGCTAGGGTTAGGGTTGGGCTTGGAGCTAGGATTTTTCTGAGTGCAATGAACCAACTCCCGAGTCTCTAGGACGTTCCTAAAAAAATTTGATTTTTTCCCATAGGAATGCATGGGTTAGGGTTAGGGTTAGGGTTAGGGTTGGAGCTAGGGTTAGGGTTAGGGTTAGGGTTGGAGTTAGGGTTAGTGTTGGAGCTAGGGTTAGGGTTGGGCTTGGAGCTAGGATTTTTCTGAGTGCACTGAACCAACTCCCGAGTCTCTAGGACGTTCCTAAAAAAATTAGATTTTTTCCCATAGGAATGCATGGGTTAGGGTTAGGGTTAGGGTTGGAGCTAGGGTTAGGGTTAGGGTTAGGGTTGGAGTTAGGGTTAGTGTTGGAGCTAGGGTTAGGGTTGGGCTTGGAGCTAGGATTTTTCTGAGTGCACTGAACCAACTCCCGAGTCTCTAGGACGTTCCTAAAAAAATTTGATTTTTTCCCATAGGAATGCATGGGTTAGGGTTAGGGTTAGGGTTAGGGTTGGAGCTAGGGTTAGGGTTAGGGTTGGAGTTAGGGTTAGTGTTGGAGCTAGGGTTAGGGTTGGGCTTGGAGCTAGGATTTTTCTGAGTGCAATGAACCAACTCCCGAGTCTCTAGGACGTTCCTAAAAAAATTTGATTTTTTCCCATAGGAATGCATGGGTTAGGGTTAGGGTTAGGGTTGGAGCTAGGGTTAGGGTTGGGCTTGGAGCTAGGATTTTTCTGAGTGCAATGAACCAACTCCCGAGTCTCTAGGACGTTCCTAAAAAAATTTGATTTTTTCCCATAGGAATGCATGGGTTAGGGTTAGGGTTAGGGTTGGAGCTAGGGTTAGGGTTAGGGTTAGGGTTGGAGTTAGGGTTAGTGTTGGAGCTAGGGTTAGGGTTGGGCTTGGAGCTAGGATTTTTCTGAGTGCAATGAACCAACTCCCGAGTCTCTAGGACGTTCCTAAAAAAATTTGATTTTTTCCCATAGGAATGCATGGGTTAGGGTTAGGGTCAGGGTTAGGGTTGGAGCTAGGGTTAGGGTTAGGGTTAGGGTTGGAGTTAGGGTTAGTGTTGGAGCTAGGGTTAGGGTTGGGCTTGGAGCTAGGATTTTTCTGAGTGCAATGAACCAACTCCCGAGTCTCTAGGACGTTCCTAAAAAAATTTGATTTTTTCCCATAGGAATGCATGGGTTAGGGTTAGGGTTAGGGTTGGAGCTAGGGTTAGGGTTAGGGTTAGGGTTGGAGTTAGGGTTAGTGTTGGAGCTAGGGTTAGGGTTGGGCTTGGAGCTAGGATTTTTCTGAGTGCACTGAACCAACTCCCGAGTCTCTAGGACGTTCCTAAAAAAATTTGATTTTTTCCCATAGGAATGCATGGGTTAGGGTTAGGGTTAGGGTTGGAGCTAGGGTTAGGGTTAGGGTTAGGGTTGGAGTTAGGGTTAGTGTTGGAGCTAGGGTTAGGGTTGGGCTTGGAGCTAGGATTTTTCTGAGTGCACTGAACCAACTCCCGAGTCTCTAGGACGTTCCTAAAAAAATTTGATTTTTTCCCATAGGAATGCATGGGTTAGGGTTAGGGTTAGGGTTGGAGCTAGGGTTAGGGTTAGGGTTAGGGTTAGGGTTGGAGTTAGGGTTAGTGTTGGAGCTAGGGTTAGGGTTGGGCTTGGAGCTAGGATTTTTCTGAGTGCACTGAACCAACTCCCAAGTCTCTAGGACGTTCCTAAAAAAATTTGATTTTTTCCCATAGGAATGCATGGGTTAGGGTTAGGGTTAGGGTTGGAGCTAGGGTTAGGGTTAGGGTTAGGGTTGGAGTTAGGGTTAGTGTTGGAGCTAGGGTTAGGGTTGGGCTTGGAGCTAGGATTTTTCGGAGTGCAATGAACCAACTCCCGAGTCTCTAGGACGTTCCTAAAAAAATTTGATTTTTTCCCATAGGAATGCATGGGTTAGGGTTAGGGTTAGGGTTGGAGCTAGGGTTAGGGTTAGGGTTAGGGTTGGAGTTAGGGTTAGTGTTGGAGCTAGGGTTAGGGTTGGGCTTGGAGCTAGGATTTTTCTGAGTGCAATGAACCAACTCCCGAGTCTCTAGGACGTTCCTAAAAAAATTTGATTTTTTCCCATAGGAATGCATGGGTTAGGGTTAGGGTTAGGGTTGGAGCTAGGGTTAGGGTTAGGGTTAGGGTTGGAATTAGGGTTAGTGTTGGAGCTAGGGTTAGGGTTGGGCTTGGAGCTAGGATTTTTCGGAGTGCAATGAACCAACTCCCGAGTCTCTAGGACGTTCCTAAAAAAATTTGATTTTTTCCCATAGTAATGCATGGGTTAGGGTTAGGGTTAGGGTTGGAGCTAGGGTTAGGGTTAGGGTTAGGGTTGGAGTTAGGGTTAGTGTTGGAGCTAGGGTTAGGGTTGGGCTTGGAGCTAGGATTTTTCTGAGTGCAATGAACCAACTCCTGAGTCTCTAGGACGTTCCTAAAAAAATTTGATTTTTTCCCATAGGAATGCATGGGTTAGGGTTAGGGTTAGGGTTTGAGCTAGGGTTAGGGTTAGGGTTAGGGTTGGAGTTAGGGTTAGTGTTGGAGCTAGGGTTAGGGTTGGGCTTGGAGCTAGGATTTTTCTGAGTGCACTGAACCAACTCCCGAGTCTATAGGACGTTCCTAAATAAATTTGATTTTTTCCCATAGGAACGCATGGGTTAGGGTTAGGGTTAGGGTTGGAGCTAGGGTTAGGGTTAGGGTTAGGATTGGAGTTAGGGTTAGTGTTGGAGCTAGGGTTAGGGTTGGGCTTGGAGCTAGGATTTTTCTGAGTGCACTGAACCAACTCCCGAGTCTCTAGGACGTTCCTAAAAAAATTTGATTTTTTCCCATAGGAATGCATGGGTTAGGGTTAGGGTTAGGGTTGGAGCTAGGGTTAGGGTTAGGGTTGGAGTTAGGGTTAGTGTTGGAGCTAGGGTTAGGGTTGGGCTTGGAGCTAGGATTTTTCTGAGTGCACTGAACCAACTCCCGAGTCTCTAGGACGTTCCTAAAAAAATTTGATTTTTTCCCATAGGAATGCATGGGTTAGGGTTAGGGTTAGGGTTGGAGCTAGGGTTAGGGTTAGGGTTAGGGTTGGAGTTAGGGTTAGTGTTGGAGCTAGGGTTAGGGTTGGGCTTGGAGCTAGGATTTTTCTGAGTGCACTGAACCAACTCCCGAGTCTCTAGGACGTTCCTAAAAAAATTTGATTTTTTCCCATAGGAATGCATGGGTTAGGGTTAGGGTTAGGGTTAGGGTTGGAGCTAGGGTTAGGGTTAGGGTTAGGGTTGGAGTTAGGGTTAGTGTTGGAGCTAGGGTTAGGGTTGGGCTTGGAGCTAGGATTTTTCTGAGTGCAATGAACCAACTCCCGAGTCTCTAGGACGTTCCTAAAAAAATTTGATTTTTTCCCATAGGAATGCATGGGTTAGGGTTAGGGTTAGGGTTGGAGCTAGGGTTAGGGTTAGGGTTAGGGTTGGAATTAGGGTTAGTGTTGGAGCTAGGGTTAGGGTTGGGCTTGGAGCTAGGATTTTTCTGAGTGCAATGAACCAACTCCCGAGTCTCTAGGACGTTCCTAAAAAAATTTGATTTTTTCCCATAGGAATGCATGGGTTAGGGTTAGGGTTAGGGTTGGAGCTAGGGTTAGGGTTAGGGTTAGGGTTGGAATTAGGGTTAGTGTTGGAGCTAGGGTTAGGGTTGGGCTTGGAGCTAGGATTTTTCTGAGTGCAATGAACCAACTCCCGAGTCTCTAGGACGTTCCTAAAAAAATTTGATTTTTTCCCATAGTAATGCATGGGTTAGGGTTAGGGTTAGGGTTGGAGCTAGGGTTAGGGTTAGGGTTAGGGTTGGAGTTAGGGTTAGTGTTGGAGCTAGGGTTAGGGTTGGGCTTGGAGCTAGGATTTTTCTGAGTGCAATGAACCAACTCCCGAGTCTCTAGGACGTTCCTAAAAAAATTTGATTTTTTCCCATAGGAATGCATGGGTTAGGGTTAGGGTTAGGGTTGGAGCTAGGGTTAGGGTTAGGGTTAGGGTTGGAGTTAGGGTTAGTGTTGGAGCTAGGGTTAGGGTTGGGCTTGGAGCTAGGATTTTTCTGAGTGCAATGAACCAACTCCCGAGTCTCTAGGACGTTCCTAAAATTTTTTTATTTTTTCCCATAGGAATGCATGGGTTAGGGTTAGGGTTAGGGTTGGAGCTAGGGTTAGGGTTAGGGTTAGGGTTGGAGTTAGGGTTAGTGTTGGAGCTAGGGTTAGGGTTGGGCTTGTAGCTAGGATTTTTCTGAGTGCAATGAACCAACTCCCGAGTCTCTAGGACATTCCTAAAAAAATTGATTTTTTCCCATAGGAATGCATGGGTTAGGGTTAGGGTTAGGGTTGGAGCTAGGGTTAGGGTTAGGGTTAGGGTTGGAGTTAGGGTTAGTGTTGGAGCTAGGGTTAGGGTTGGGCTTGGAGCTAGGATTTTTCTGAGTGCAATGAACCAACTCCCGAGTCTCTAGGACGTTCCTAAAAAAATTTGATTTTTTCCCATAGTAATGCATGGGTTAGGGTTAGGGTTAGGGTTGGAGCTAGGGTTAGGGTTAGGGTTAGGGTTGGAGTTAGGGTTAGTGTTGGAGCTAGGGTTAGGGTTGGGCTTGGAGCTAGGATTTTTCTGAGTGCAATGAACCAACTCCCGAGTCTCTAGGACGTTCCTAAAAAAATTTGATTTTTTCCCATAGGAATGCATGGGTTAGGGTTAGGGTTAGGGTTGGAGCTAGGGTTAGGGTTAGGGTTAGGGTTGGAGTTAGGGTTAGTGTTGGAGCTAGGGTTAGGGTTGGGCTTGGAGCTAGGATTTTTCTGAGTGCACTGAACCAACTCCCGAGTCTCTAGGACGTTCCTAAAAAAATTAGATTTTTTCCCATAGGAATGCATGGGTTAGGGTTAGGGTTAGGGTTAGGGTTGGAGCTAGGGTTAGGGTTAGGGTTAGGGTTGGAGTTAGGGTTAGTGTTGGAGCTAGGGTTAGGGTTGGGCTTGGAGCTAGGATTTTTCTGAGTGCAATGAACCAACTCCCGAGTCTCTAGGACATTCCTAAAAAAATTTGATTTTTTCCCATAGGAATGCATGGGTTAGGGTTAGGGTTAGGGTTGGAGCTAGGGTTAGGGTTAGGGTTAGGGTTGGAATTAGGGTTAGTGTTGGAGCTAGGGTTAGGGTTGGGCTTGGAGCTAGGATTTTTCGGAGTGCAATGAACCAACTCCCGAGTCTCTAGGACGTTCCTAAAAAAATTTGATTTTTTCCCATAGTAATGCATGGGTTAGGGTTAGGGTTAGGGTTGGAGCTAGGGTTAGGGTTAGGGTTAGGGTTGGAGTTAGGGTTAGTTTTGGAGCTAGGGTTAGGGTTGGGCTTGGAGCTAGGATTTTTCTGAGTGCAATGAACCAACTCCTGAGTCTCTAGGACGTTCCTAAAAAAATTGATTTTTTCCCATAGGAATGCATGGGTTAGGGTTAGGGTTAGGGTTTGAGCTAGGGTTAGGGTTAGGGTTAGGGTTGGAGTTAGGGTTAGTGTTGGAGCTAGGGTTAGGGTTGGGCTTGGAGCTAGGATTTTTCTGAGTGCAATGAACCAACTCCCGAGTCTCTAGGACGTTCCTAAAAAAATTTGATTTTTTCCCATAGGAATGCATGGGTTAGGGTTAGGGTTAGGGTTGGAGCTAGGGTTAGGGTTAGGGTTAGGATTGGAGTTAGGGTTAGTGTTGGAGCTAGGGTTAGGGTTGGGCTTGGAGCTAGGATTTTTCTGAGTGCAATGAACCAACTCCCGAGTCTCTAGGACGTTCCTAAAAAAATTTGATTTTTTCCCATAGGAATGCATGGGTTAGGGTTAGGGTTAGGGTTGGAGCTAGGGTTAGGGTTAGGGTTAGGATTAGGGTTAGTGTTGGAGCTAGGGTTAGGGTTGGGCTTGGAGCTAGGATTTTTCTGAGTGCACTGAACCAACTCCCGAGTCTCTAGGACGTTCCTAAAAAAATTAGATTTTTTCCCATAGGAATGCATGGGTTAGGGTTAGGGTTAGGGTTAGGGTTGGAGCTAGGGTTAGGGTTAGGGTTAGGGTTGGAGTTAGGGTTAGTGTTGGAGCTAGGGTTAGGGTTGGGCTTGGAGCTAGGATTTTTCTGAGTGCAATGAACCAACTCCCGAGTCTCTAGGACATTCCTAAAAAAATTTGATTTTTTCCCATAGGAATGCATGGGTTAGGGTTAGGGTTAGGGTTGGAGCTAGGGTTAGGGTTAGGGTTAGGGTTGGAGTTAGGGTTAGTGTTGGAGCTAGGGTTAGGGTTGGGCTTGGAGCTAGGATTTTTCTGAGTGCAATGAACCAACTCCCGAGTCTCTAGGACGTTCCTAAAAAAAATTGATTTTTTCCCATAGGAATGCATGGGTTAGGGTTAGGGTTAGGGTTTGAGCTAGGGTTAGGGTTAGGGTTAGGGTTGGAGTTAGGGTTAGTGTTGGAGCTAGGGTTAGGGTTGGGCTTGGAGCTAGGATTTTTCTGAGTGCAATGAACCAACTCCCGAGTCTCTAGGACGTTCCTAAAAAAAATTTGATTTTTTCCCATAGGAATGCATGGGTTAGGGTTAGGGTTAGGGTTGGAGCTAGGGTTAGGGTTAGGGTTAGGGTTGGAGTTAGGGTTAGTGTTGGAGCTAGGGTTAGGGTTGGGCTTGGAGCTAGGATTTTTCTGAGTGCACTGAACCAACTCCCGAGTCTATAGGACGTTCCTAAAAAAATTTGATTTTTTCCCATAGGAACGCATGGGTTAGGGTTAGGGTTAGGGTTGGAGCTAGGGTTAGGGTTAGGGTTAGGATTGGAGTTAGGGTTAGTGTTGGAGCTAGGGTTAGGGTTGGGCTTGGAGCTAGGATTTTTCTGAGTGCACTGAACCAACTCCCGAGTCTCTAGGACGTTCCTAAAAAAATTTTGATTTTTTCCCATAGGAATGCATGGGTTAGGGTTAGGGTTAGGGTTGGAGCTAGGGTTAGGGTTAGGGTTGGAGTTAGGGTTAGTGTTGGAGCTAGGGTTAGGGTTGGGCTTGGAGCTAGGATTTTTCTGAGTGCACTGAACCAACTCCCGAGTCTCTAGGACGTTCCTAAAAATTTGATTTTTTCCCATAGGAATGCATGGGTTAGGGTTAGGGTTAGGGTTGGAGCTAGGGTTAGGGTTAGGGTTAGGGTTGGAGTTAGGGTTAGTGTTGGAGCTAGGGTTAGGGTTGGGCTTGGAGCTAGGATTTTTCTGAGTGCAATGAACCAACTCCCGAGTCTCTAGGACGTTCCTAAAAAAATTTGATTTTTTCCCATAGGAATGCATGGGTTAGGGTTAGGGTTAGGGTTAGGGTTGGAGCTAGGGTTAGGGTTAGGGTTAGGGTTGGAGTTAGGGTTAGTGTTGGAGCTAGGGTTAGGGTTGGGCTTGGAGCTAGGATTTTTCTGAGTGCAATGAACCAACTCCCGAGTCTCTAGGACGTTCCTAAAAAAATTTGATTTTTTCCCATAGGAATGCATGGGTTAGGGTTAGGGTTAGGGTTGGAGCTAGGGTTAGGGTTAGGGTTGGAGCTAGGGTTAGGGTTAGGGTTAGGGTTGGAGTTAGGGTTAGTGTTGGAGCTAGGGTTAGGGTTGGGCTTGGAGCTAGGATTTTTCTGAGTGCAATGAACCAACTCCCGAGTCTCTAGGACGTTCCTAAAAAAATTTGATTTTTTCCCATAGGAATGCATGGGTTAGGGTTAGGGTTAGGGTTGGAGCTAGGGTTAGGGTTAGGGTTAGGGTTAGTGTTGGAGCTAGGGTTAGGGTTGGGCTTGGAGCTAGGATTTTTCTGAGTGCAATGAACCAACTCCCGAGTCTCTAGGACGTTCCTAAAAAAATTTGATTTTTTCCCATAGGAATGCATGGGTTAGGGTTAGGGTTAGGGTTGGAGCTAGGGTTAGGGTTAGGGTTAGGGTTGGAGTTAGGGTTAGTGTTGGAGCTAGGGTTAGGGTTGGGCTTGGAGCTAGGATTTTTCTGAGTGCAATGAACCAACTCCCGAGTCTCTAGGACGTTCCTAAAATTTTTTTATTTTTTCCCATAGGAATGCATGGGTTAGGGTTAGGGTTAGGGTTGGAGCTAGGGTTAGGGTTAGGGTTAGGGTTGGAGTTAGGGTTAGTGTTGGAGCTAGGGTTAGGGTTGGGCTTGGAGCTAGGATTTTTCTGAGTGCAATGAACCAACTCCCGAGTCTCTAGGACGTTCCTAAAAAAATTTGATTTTTTCCCATAGGAATGCATGGGTTAGGGTTAGGGTTAGGGTTGGAGCTAGGGTTAGGGTTAGGGTTAGGGTTGGAGTTAGGGTTAGTGTTGGAGCTAGGGTTAGGGTTGGGCTTGGAGCTAGGATTTTTCTGAGTGCACTGAACCAACTCCCGAGTCTCTAGGACGTTCCTAAAAAAATTTGATTTTTTCCCATAGGAATGCATGGGTTAGGGTTAGGGTTAGGGTTGGAGCTAGGGTTAGGGTTAGGGTTGGAGTTAGGGTTAGTGTTGGAGCTAGGGTTAGGGTTGGGCTTGGAGCTAGGATTTTTCTGAGTGCACTGAACCAACTCCCGAGTCTCTAGGACGTTCCTAAAAAAATTTGATTTTTTCCCATAGGAATGCATGGGTTAGGGTTAGGGTTAGGGTTAGGGTTGGAGCTAGGGTTAGGGTTAGGGTTAGGGTTGGAGTTAGGGTTAGTGTTGGAGCTAGGGTTAGGGTTGGGCTTGGAGCTAGGATTTTTCTGAGTGCAATGAACCAACTCCCGAGTCTCTAGGACGTTCCTAAAAAAATTTGATTTTTTCCCATAGGAATGCATGGGTTAGGGTTAGGGTTAGGGTTGGAGCTAGGGTTAGGGTTAGGGTTAGGGTTAGGGTTAGGGTTAGGGTTGGAATTAGGGTTAGTGTTGGAGCTAGGGTTAGGGTTGGGCTTGGAGCTAGGATTTTTCTGAGTGCAATGAACCAACTCCCGAGTCTCTAGGACGTTCCTAAAAAAATTTGATTTTTTCCCATAGGAATGCATGGGTTAGGGTTAGGGTTAGGGTTGGAGCTAGGGTTAGGGTTAGGGTTAGGGTTAGTGTTGGAGCTAGGGTTAGGGTTGGGCTTGGAGCTAGGATTTTTCTGAGTGCACTGAACCAACTCCCGAGTCTCTAGGACGTTCCTAAAAAAATTTGATTTTTTCCCATAGGAATGCATGGGTTAGGGTTAGGGTTAGGGTTGGAGCTAGGGTTAGGGTTAGGGTTAGGGTTGGAGTTAGGGTTAGTGTTGGAGCTAGGGTTAGGGTTGGGCTTGGAGCTAGGATTTTTCTGAGTGCAATGAACCAACTCCCGAGTCTCTAGGACGTTCCTAAAATTTTTTATTTTTTCCCATAGGAATGCATGGGTTAGGGTTAGGGTTAGGGTTGGAGCTAGGGTTAGGGTTAGGGTTAGGGTTGGAGTTAGGGTTAGTGTTGGAGCTAGGGTTAGGGTTGGGCTTGGAGCTAGGATTTTTCTGAGTGCACTGAACCAACTCCCGAGTCTATAGGACGTTCCTAAAAAAATTTGATTTTTTCCCATAGGAACGCATGGGTTAGGGTTAGGGTTAGGGTTGGAGCTAGGGTTAGGGTTAGGGTTAGGATTGGAGTTAGGGTTAGTGTTGGAGCTAGGGTTAGGGTTGGGCTTGGAGCTAGGATTTTTCTGAGTGCACTGAACCAACTCCCGAGTCTCTAGGACGTTCCTAAAAAAATTTGATTTTTTCCCATAGGAATGCATGGGTTAGGGTTAGGGTTAGGGTTGGAGCTAGGGTTAGGGTTAGGGTTGGAGTTAGGGTTAGTGTTGGAGCTAGGGTTAGGGTTGGGCTTGGAGCTAGGATTTTTCTGAGTGCACTGAACCAACTCCCGAGTCTCTAGGACGTTCCTAAAAAAATTTGATTTTTTCCCATAGGAATGCATGGGTTAGGGTTAGGGTTAGGGTTGGAGCTAGGGTTAGGGTTAGGGTTGGAGTTAGGGTTAGTGTTGGAGCTAGGGTTAGGGTTGGGCTTGGAGCTAGGATTTTTCTGAGTGCACTGAACCAACTCCCGAGTCTCTAGGACGTTCCTAAAAAAATTTGATTTTTTCCCATAGGAATGCATGGGTTAGGGTTAGGGTTAGGGTTGGAGCTAGGGTTAGGGTTAGGGTTAGGGTTGGAGTTAGGGTTAGTGTTGGAGCTAGGGTTAGGGTTGGGCTTGGAGCTAGGATTTTTCTGAGTGCAATGAACCAACTCCCGAGTCTCTAGGACGTTCCTAAAAAAATTTGATTTTTTCCCATAGGAATGCATGGGTTAGGGTTAGGGTTAGGGTTGGAGCTAGGGTTAGGGTTAGGGTTAGGGTTGGAGTTACGGTTAGTGTTGTAGCTAGGGTTAGGGTTGGGCTTGGAGCTAGGATTTTTCTGAGTGCACTGAACCAACTCCCGAGTCTCTAGGACGTTCCTAAAAAAATTTGATTTTTTCCCATAGGAATGCATGGGTTAGGGTTAGGGTTAGGGTTAGGGTTGGAGCTAGGGTTAGGGTTAGGGTTAGGGTTGGAGTTAGGGTTAGTGTTGGAGCTAGGGTTAGGGTTGGGCTTGGAGCTAGGATTTTTCTGAGTGCAATGAACCAACTCCCGAGTCTCTAGGACGTTCCTAAAAAAATTTGATTTTTTCCCATAGGAATGCATGGGTTAGGGTTAGGGTTAGGGTTAGGGTTGGAGCTAGGGTTAGGGTTAGGGTTAGGGTTGGAGTTAGGGTTAGTGTTGGAGCTAGGGTTAGGGTTGGGCTTGGAGCTAGGATTTTTCTGAGTGCACTGAACCAACTCCCGAGTCTCTAGGACGTTCCTAAAAAAATTTGATTTTTTCCCATAGGAATGCATGGGTTAGGGTTAGGGTTAGGGTTGGAGCTAGGGTTAGGGTTAGGGTTAGGGTTGGAATTAGGGTTAGTGTTGGAGCTAGGGTTAGGGTTGGGCTTGGAGCTAGGATTTTTCTGAGTGCAATGAACCAACTCCCGAGTCTCTAGGACGTTCCTAAAAAAATTTGATTTTTTCCCATAGGAATGCATGGGTTAGGGTTAGGGTTAGGGTTGGAGCTAGGGTTAGGGTTAGGGTTAGGGTTGGAATTAGGGTTAGTGTTGGAGCTAGGGTTAGGGTTGGGCTTGGAGCTAGGATTTTTCTGAGTGCAATGAACCAACTCCCGAGTCTCTAGGACGTTCCTAAAAAAATTTGATTTTTTCCCATAGTAATGCATGGGTTAGGGTTAGGGTTAGGGTTGGAGCTAGGGTTAGGGTTAGGGTTAGGGTTGGAGTTAGGGTTAGTGTTGGAGCTAGGGTTAGGGTTGGGCTTGGAGCTAGGATTTTTCTGAGTGCAATGAACCAACTCCCGAGTCTCTAGGACGTTCCTAAAAAAATTTGATTTTTTCCCATAGGAATGCATGGGTTAGGGTTAGGGTTAGGGTTAGGGTTAGGGTTAGGGTTAGGGTTGGAGTTAGGGTTAGTGTTGGAGCTAGGGTTAGGGTTGGGCTTGGAGCTAGGATTTTTCTGAGTGCAATGAACCAACTCCCGAGTCTCTAGGACGTTCCCAAAAAAATTGATTTTTTCCCATAGGAATGCATGGGTTAGGGTTAGGGTTAGGGTTAGGGTTGGAGCTAGGGTTAGGGTTAGGGTTAGGGTTGGAGTTAGGGTTAGTGTTGGAGCTAGGGTTAGGGTTGGGCTTGGAGCTAGGATTTTTCTGAGTGCAATGAACCAACTCCTGAGTCTCTAGGACGTTCCTAAAAAAATTTGATTTTTTCCCATAGGAATGCATGGGTTAGGGTTAGGGTTAGGGTTGGAGCTAGGGTTAGGGTTAGGGTTAGGGTTGGAGTTAGGGTTAGTGTTGGAGCTAGGGTTAGGGTTGGGCTTGGAGCTAGGATTTTTCTGAGTGCAATGAACCAACTCCCGAGTCTCTAGGACGTTCCTAAAAAAATTTGATTTTTTCCCATAGGATTGCATGGGTTAGGGTTAGGGTTAGGGTTAGGGTTGGAGCTAGGGTTAGGGTTAGGGTTAGGGTTGGAGTTAGGGTTAGTGTTGGAGCTAGGGTTAGGGTTGGGCTTGGAGCTAGGATTTTTCGGAGTGCAATGAACCAACTCCCGAGTCTCTAGGACGTTCCTAAAAAAATTTGATTTTTTCCCATAGGAATGCATGGGTTAGGGTTAGGGTTAGGGTTGGAGCTAGGGTTAGGGTTAGGGTTAGGGTTGGAGTTGGAGCTAGGGTTAGGGTTGGGCTTGGAGCTAGGATTTTTCTGAGTGCAATGAACCAACTCCCGAGTCTCTAGGACGTTCCTAAAAAAATTTGATTTTTTCCCATAGGAATGCATGGGTTAGGGTTAGGGTTAGGGTTTGAGCTAGGGTTAGGGTTAGGGTTAGGGTTGGAGTTAGGGTTAGTGTTGGAGCTAGGGTTAGGGTTGGGCTTGGAGCTAGGATTTTTCTGAGTGCACTGAACCAACTCCCGAGTCTCTAGGACGTTCCTAAAAAAATTTGATTTTTTCCCATAGGAATGCATGGGTTAGGGTTAGGGTTAGGGTTAGGGTTGGAGCTAGGGTTAGGGTTAGGGTTAGGGTTAGGGTTGGAGTTAGGGTTAGTGTTGGAGCTAGGGTTAGGGTTGGGCTTGGAGCTAGGATTTTTCGGAGTGCAATGAACCAACTCCCGAGTCTCTAGGACGTTCCTAAAAATTTTTTATTTTTTCCCATAGGAATGCATGGGTTAGGGTTAGGGTTAGGGTTGGAGCTAGGGTTAGGGTTAGGGTTAGGGTTGGAGTTAGGGTTAGTGTTGGAGCTAGGGTTAGGGTTGGGCTTGGAGCTAGGATTTTTCTGAGTGCAATGAACCAACTCCGAGTCTCTAGGACATTCCTAAAAAAATTTGATTTTTTTCCCATAGGAATGCATGGGTTAGGGTTAGGGTTAGGGTTGGAGCTAGGGTTAGGGTTAGGGTTAGGGTTGGAGTTAGGGTTAGTGTTGGAGCTAGGGTTAGGGTTGGGCTTGGAGCTAGGATTTTTCTGAGTGCAATGAACCAACTCCCGAGTCTCTAGGACGTTCCTAAAAAAATTTGATTTTTTCCCATAGGAATGCATGGGTTAGGGTTAGGGTTAGGGTTTGAGCTAGGGTTAGGGTTAGGGTTAGGGTTGGAGTTAGGGTTAGTGTTGGAGCTAGGGTTAGGGTTGGGCTTGGAGCTAGGATTTTTCTGAGTGCACTGAACCAACTCCCGAGTCTCTAGGACGTTCCTAAAAAAATTTGATTTTTTCCCATAGGAATGCATGGGTTAGGGTTAGGGTTAGGGTTAGGGTTGGAGCTAGGGTTAGGGTTAGGGTTAGGGTTGGAGTTAGGGTTAGTGTTGGAGCTAGGGTTAGGGTTGGGCTTGGAGCTAGGATTTTTCGGAGTGCAATGAACCAACTCCCGAGTCTCTAGGACGTTCCTAAAAAATTTTTATTTTTTCCCATAGGAATGCATGGGTTAGGGTTAGGGTTAGGATTGGAGCTAGGGTTAGGGTTAGGGTTAGGGTTGGAGTTGGAGCTAGGGTTAGGGTTGGGCTTGGAGCTAGGATTTTTCTGAGTGCAATGAACCAACTCCCGAGTCTCTAGGACGTTCCCAAAAAAATTTGATTTTTTCCCATAGGAATGCATGGGTTAGGGTTAGGGTTAGGGTTGGAGCTAGGGTTAGGGTTAGGGTTAGGGTTGGAGTTAGGGTTAGTGTTGGAGCTAGGGTTAGGGTTGGGCTTGGAGCTAGGATTTTTCTGAGTGCAATGAACCAACTCCCGAGTCTCTAGGACGTTCCTAAAAAAATTTGATTTTTTCCCATAGGAATGCATGGGTTAGGGTTAGGGTTAGGGTTTGAGCTAGGGTTAGGGTTAGGGTTAGGGTTGGCGTTAGGGTTAGTGTTGGAGCTAGGGTTAGGGTTGGGCTTGGAGCTAGGATTTTTCTGAGTGCACTGAACCAACTCCCGAGTCTCTAGGACGTTCCTAAAAAAATTTGATTTTTTCCCATAGGAATGCATGGGTTAGGGTTAGGGTTAGGGTTGGAGCTAGGGTTAGGGTTAGGGTTAGGGTTGGAGTTAGGGTTAGTGTTGGAGCTAGGGTTAGGGTTGGGCTTGGAGCTAGGATTTTTCTGAGTGCACTGAACCAACTCCCGAGTCTCTAGGACGTTCCTAAAAAAATTTGATTTTTCCCATAGGAATGCATGGGTTAGGGTTAGGGTTAGGGTTAGGGTTGGAGCTAGGGTTAGGGTTAGGGTTAGGGTTGGAGTTAGGGTTAGTGTTGGAGCTAGGGTTAGGGTTGGGCTTGGAGCTAGGATTTTTCTGAGTGCACTGAACCAACTCCCAAGTCTCTAGGACGTTCCTAAAAAAATTTGATTTTTTCCCATAGGAATGCATGGGTTAGGGTTAGGGTTAGGGTTAGGGTTGGAGCTAGGGTTAGGGTTGGAGTTAGGGTTAGTGTTGGAGCTAGGGTTAGGGTTGGGCTTGGAGCTAGGATTTTTCTGAGTGCAATGAACCAACTCCCGAGTCTCTATGACGTTCCTAAAAAAATTGATTTTTTCCCATAGGAATGCATGGGTTAGGGTTAGGGTTAGGGTTGGAGCTAGGGTTAGGGTTAGGGTTAGGGTTAGTGTTGGAGCTAGGGTTAGGGTTGGGCTTGGAGCTAGGATTTTTCTGAGTGCAATGAACCAACTCCCGAGTCTCTAGGACGTTCCTAAAAAAATTTGATTTTTTCCCATAGGAATGCATGGGTTAGGGTTAGGGTTAGGGTTGGAGCTAGGGTTAGGGTTAGGGTTAGGGTTTGAGTTAGGGTTAGTGTTGGAGCTAGGGTTAGGGTTGGGCTTGGAGCTAGGATTTTTCTGAGTGCAATGAACCAACTCCCGAGTCTCTAGGACGTTCCTAAAAAAATTTGATTTTTTCCCATAGGAATGCATGGGTTAGGGTTAAGGGTTAGGGTTTGGAGCTAGGGTTAGGGTTGGAGTTAGGGTTAGTGTTGGAGCTAGGGTTAGGGTTGGGCTTGGAGCTAAGATTTTTCTGAGTGCACTGAACCAACTCCCGAGTCTCTAGGACGTTCCTAAAAAAATTTGATTTTTTCCCATAGGAATGCATGGGTTAGGGTTAGGGTTAGGGTTGGAGCTAGGGTTAGGGTTAGGGTTAGGGTTGGAGTTAGGGTTAGTGTTGGAGCTAGGGTTAGGGTTGGGCTTGGAGCTAGGATTGTTCTGAGTCCACTGAACAAACTCCCGAGTCTCTAGGACGTTCCTAAAAAAATTTGATTTTTCCCATAGGAATGCATGGGTTAGGGTTAGGGTTAGGGTTAGGGTTGGAGCTAGGGTTAGGGTTAGGGTTAGGGTTGGAGTTAGGGTTAGTGTTGGAGCTAGGGTTAGGGTTGGGCTTGGAGCTAGGATTTTTCTGAGTGCACTGAACCAACTCCCAAGTCTCTAGGACGTTCCTAAAAAAATTTGATTTTTTCCCATAGGAATGCATGGGTTAGGGTTAGGGTTAGGGTTAGGGTTGGAGCTAGGGTTAGGGTTGGAGTTAGGGTTAGTGTTGGAGCTGGGGTTAGGGTTGAGCTTGGAGCTAGGATTTTTCTGAGTGCAATGAACCAACTCCCGAGTCTCTAGGACGTTCCTAAAAAATTTGATTTTTTCCCATAGGAATGCATGGGTTAGGGTTAGGGTTGGAGCTAGGGTTAGGGTTAGGGTTAGGGTTGGAGTTAGGGTTAGTGTTGGAGCTAGGGTTAGGGTTGGGCTTGGAGCTAGGATTTTTCTGAGTGCAATGAACCAACTCCCGAGTCTCTAGGACGTTCCTAAAAAAATTTGATTTTTTCCCATAGGAATGCATGGGTTAGGGTTAGGGTTAGGGTTAGGGTTGGAGCTAGGGTTAGGGTTAGGGTTAGGGTTGGAGTTAGGGTTAGTGTTGGAGCTAGGGTTAGGGTTGGGCTTGGAGCTAGGATTTTTCTGAGTGCACTGAACCAACTCCCGAGTCTCTAGGACGTTCCTAAAAAAATTTGATTTTTTCCCATAGGAATGCATGGGTTAGGGTTAGGGTTAGGGTTGGAGCTAGGGTTAGGGTTAGGGTTAGGGTTGGAGTTAGGGTTAGTGTTGGAGCTAGGGTTAGGGTTGGGCTTGGAGCTAGGATTTTTCTGAGTGCAATGAACCAACTCCCGAGTCTCTAGGACGTTCCTAAAAAAATTTGATTTTTTCCCATAGTAATGCATGGGTTAGGGTTAGGGTTAGGGTTGGAGCTAGGGTTAGGGTTAGGGTTAGGGTTGGAGTTAGGGTTAGTGTTGGAGCTAGGGTTAGGGTTGGGCTTGGAGCTAGGATTTTTCTGAGTGCACTGAACCAACTCCCGAGTCTCTAGGACGTTCCTAAAAAAATTTGATTTTTTCCCATAGGAATGCATGGGTTAGGGTTAGGGTTAGGGTTGGAGCTAGGGTTAGGGTTAGGGTTAGGGTTAGGGTTGGAGTTAGGGTTAGTGTTGGAGCTAGGGTTAGGGTTGGGCTTGGAGCTAGGATTTTTCTGAGTGCACTGAACCAACTCCCGAGTCTCTAGGACGTTCCTAAAAAAATTTGATTTTTTCCCATAGGAATGCATGGGTTAGGGTTAGGGTTAGGGTTGGAGCTAGGGTTAGGGTTAGGGTTAGGGTTGGAGTTAGGGTTAGTGTTGGAGCTAGGGTTAGGGTTGGGCTTGGAGCTAGGATTTTTCTGAGTGCACTGAACCAACTCCCGAGTCTCTAGGACGTTCCTAAAAAAATTTGATTTTTTCCCATAGGAATGCATGGGTTAGGGTTAGGGTTAGGGTTGGAGCTAGGGTTAGGGTTAGGGTTAGGGTTGGAGTTAGGGTTAGTGTTGGAGCTAGGGTTAGGGTTGGGCTTGGAGCTAGGATTTTTCTGAGTGCAATGAACCAACTCCCGAGTCTCTAGGACGTTCCTAAAAAAATTAGATTTTTTCCCATAGGAATGCATGGGTTAGGGTTAGGGTTAGGGTTAGGGTTGGAGCTAGGGTTAGGGTTAGGGTTAGGGTTGGAGTTAGGGTTAGTGTTGGAGCTAGGATTAGGGTTGGGCTTGGAGCTAGGATTTTTCTGAGTGCAATGAACCAACTCCCGAGTCTCTAGGACGTTCCTAAAAATTTTTTATTTTTTCCCATAGGAATGCATGGGTTAGGGTTAGGGTTAGGGTTAGGGTTGGAGCTAGGGTTAGGGTTAGGGTTAGGGTTGGAGTTAGGGTTAGTGTTGGAGCTAGGGTTAGGGTTGGGGTTAGGGTTGGAGTTAGGGTTAGTGTTGGAGCTAGGGTTAGGGTTGGGCTTGGAGCTAGGATTTTTCTGAGTGCACTGAACCAACTCCCGAGTCTCTAGGACGTTCCTAAAAAAATTTGATTTTTTCCCATAGGAATGCATGGGTTAGGGTTAGGGTTAGGGTTAGGGTTGGAGCTAGGGTTAGGGTTAGGGTTAGGGTTGGAGTTAGGGTTAGTGTTGGAGCTAGGGTTAGGGTTGGGCTTGGAGCTAGGATTTTTCTGAGTGCAATGAACCAACTCCCGAGTCTCTAGGACGTTCCTAAAAAAATTGATTTTTTCCCATAGTAATGCATGGGTTAGGGTTAGGGTTAGGGTTGGAGCTAGGGTTAGGGTTAGGGTTAGGGTTGGAGTTAGGGTTAGTGTTGGAGCTAGGGTTAGGGTTGGGCTTGGAGCTAGGATTTTTCTGAGTGCAATGAACCAACTCCCGAGTCTCTAGGACGTTCCTAAAAAAATTTGATTTTTTCCCATAGGAATGCATGGGTTAGGGTTAGGGTTAGGGTTGGAGCTAGGGTTAGGGTTAGGGTTGGAATTAGGGTTAGTGTTGGAGCTAGGGTTAGGGTTGGGCTTGGAGCTAGGATTTTTCTGAGTGCAATGAACCAACTCCCGAGTCTCTAGGACGTTCCTAAAAAAATTTGATTTTTTCCCATAGGAATGCATGGGTTAGGGTTAGGGTTAGGGTTGGAGCTAGGGTTAGGGTTAGGGTTAGGGTTGGAGTTAGGGTTAGTGTTGGAGCTAGGGTTAGGGTTGGGCTTGGAGCTAGGATTTTTCTGAGTGCACTGAACCAACTCCCGAGTCTCTAGGACGTTCCTAAAAAAATTTGATTTTTTCCCATAGGAATGCATGGGTTAGGGTTAGGGTTAGGGTTAGGGTTGGAGTTAGGGTTAGTGTTGGAGCTAGGGTTAGGGTTGGGCTTGGAGCTAGGATTTTTCTGAGTGCAATGAACCAACTCCCGAGTCTCTAGGACGTTCCTAAAAAAATTTGATTTTTTCCCATAGTAATGCATGGGTTAGGGTTAGGGTTAGGGTTGGAGCTAGGGTTAGGGTTAGGGTTAGGGTTGGAGTTAGGGTTAGTGTTGGAGCTAGGGTTAGGGTTGGTCCTGGAGCTAGGATTTTTCTGAGTGCAATGAACCAACTCCCGAGTCTCTAGGACGTTCCTAAAAAAATTTGATTTTTTCCCATAGTAATGCATGGGTTAGGGTTAGGGTTAGGGTTGTAGCTAGGGTTAGGGTTAGGGTTAGGGTTGGAGTTAGGGTTAGTGTTGGAGCTAGGGTGAGGGTTGGGCTTGGAGCTAGGATTTTTCTGAGTGCACTGAACCAACTCCCGAGTCTCTAGGACGTTCCTAAAAAAATTTGATTTTTTCCCATAGGAATGCATGGGTTAGGGTTAGGGTTAGGGTTGGAGCTAGGGTTAGGGTTAGGGTTAGGGTTGGAGTTAGGGTTAGTGTTGGAGCTAGGGTTAGGGTTGGGCTTGGAGCTAGGATTTTTCTGAGTGCACTGAACCAACTCCCGAGTCTCTAGGACGTTCCTAAAAAAATTTTGATTTTTTCCCATAGGAATGCATGGGTTAGGGTTAGGGTTAGGGTTAGGGTTGGAGCTAGGGTTAGGGTTAGGGTTAGGGTTGGAGTTAGGGTTAGTGTTGGAGCTAGGGTTAGGGTTGGGCTTGGAGCTAGGATTTTTCTGAGTGCAATGAACCAACTCCCGAGTCTCTAGGACGTTCCTAAAAAAATTTGATTTTTTCCCATAGGAATGCATGGGTTAGGGTTAGGGTTAGGGTTAGGGTTGGAGCTAGGGTTAGGGTTAGGGTTAGGGTTGGAGTTAGGGTTAGTGTTGGAGCTAGGGTTAGGGTTGGGGTTAGGGTTGGAGTTAGGGTTAGTGTTGGAGCTAGGGTTAGGGTTGGGCTTGGAGCTAGGATTTTTCTGAGTGCACTGAACCAACTCCCGAGTCTCTAGGACGTTCCTAAAAAATTTGATTTTTTCCCATAGGAATGCATGGGTTAGGGTTAGGGTTAGGGTTAGGGTTGGAGCTAGGGTTAGGGTTAGGGTTAGGGTTGGAGTTAGGGTTAGTGTTGGAGCTAGGGTTAGGGTTGGGCTTGGAGCTAGGATTTTTCTGAGTGCAATGAACCAACTCCCGAGTCTCTAGGACGTTCCTAAAAAAATTTGATTTTTTCCCATAGTAATGCATGGGTTAGGGTTAGGGTTAGGGTTGGAGCTAGGGTTAGGGTTAGGGTTAGGGTTGGAGTTAGGGTTAGTGTTGGAGCTAGGGTTAGGGTTGGGCTTGGAGCTAGGATTTTTCTGAGTGCACTGAACCAACTCCCAAGTCTCTAGGACGTTCCTAAAAAAATTTGATTTTTTCCCATAGGAATGCATGGGTTAGGGTTAGGGTTAGGGTTAGGGTTGGAGCTAGGGTTAGGGTTGGAGTTAGGGTTAGTGTTGGAGCTGGGGTTAGGGTTGAGCTTGGAGCTAGGATTTTTCTGAGTGCAATGAACCAACTCCCGAGTCTCTAGGACGTTCCTAAAAAAATTTGATTTTTTCCCATAGGAATGCATGGGTTAGGGTTAGGGTTGGAGCTAGGGTTAGGGTTAGGGTTAGGGTTGGAGTTAGGGTTAGTGTTGGAGCTAGGGTTAGGGTTGGGCTTGGAGCTAGGATTTTTCTGAGTGCAATGAACCAACTCCCGAGTCTCTAGGACGTTCCTAAAAAAATTTGATTTTTTCCCATAGGAATGCATGGGTTAGGGTTAGGGTTAGGGTTAGGGTTGGAGCTAGGGTTAGGGTTAGGGTTAGGGTTGGAGTTAGGGTTAGTGTTGGAGCTAGGGTTAGGGTTGGGCTTGGAGCTAGGATTTTTCTGAGTGCACTGAACCAACTCCCGAGTCTCTAGGACGTTCCTAAAAAAATTTGATTTTTTCCCATAGGAATGCATGGGTTAGGGTTAGGGTTAGGGTTGGAGCTAGGGTTAGGGTTAGGGTTAGGGTTGGAGTTAGGGTTAGTGTTGGAGCTAGGGTTAGGGTTGGGCTTGGAGCTAGGATTTTTCTGAGTGCAATGAACCAACTCCCGAGTCTCTAGGACGTTCCTAAAAAAATTTGATTTTTTCCCATAGTAATGCATGGGTTAGGGTTAGGGTTAGGGTTGGAGCTAGGGTTAGGGTTAGGGTTAGGGTTGGAGTTAGGGTTAGTGTTGGAGCTAGGGTTAGGGTTGGGCTTGGAGCTAGGATTTTTCTGAGTGCACTGAACCAACTCCCGAGTCTCTAGGACGTTCCTAAAAAAATTTGATTTTTTCCCATAGGAATGCATGGGTTAGGGTTAGGGTTAGGGTTGGAGCTAGGGTTAGGGTTAGGGTTAGGGTTAGGGTTGGAGTTAGGGTTAGTGTTGGAGCTAGGGTTAGGGTTGGGCTTGGAGCTAGGATTTTTCTGAGTGCACTGAACCAACTCCCGAGTCTCTAGGACGTTCCTAAAAAAATTTGATTTTTTCCCATAGGAATGCATGGGTTAGGGTTAGGGTTAGGGTTGGAGCTAGGGTTAGGGTTAGGGTTAGGGTTGGAGTTAGGGTTAGTGTTGGAGCTAGGGTTAGGGTTGGGCTTGGAGCTAGGATTTTTCTGAGTGCAATGAACCAACTCCCGAGTCTCTAGGACGTTCCTAAAAAAATTTGATTTTTTCCCATAGGAATGCATGGGTTAGGGTTAGGGTTAGGGTTGGAGCTAGGGTTAGGGTTAGGGTTAGGGTTGGAGTTAGGGTTAGTGTTGGAGCTAGGGTTAGGGTTGGGCTTGGAGCTAGGATTTTTCTGAGTGCAATGAACCAACTCCCGAGTCTCTAGGACGTTCCTAAAAAAATTTGATTTTTTCCCATAGGAATGCATGGGTTAGGGTTAGGGTTAGGGTTAGGGTTAGGGTTAGGGTTAGGGTTAGGGTTAGGGTTGGAGTTAGGGTTAGTGTTGGAGCTAGGGTTAGGGTTGGGCTTGGAGCTAGGATTTTTCTGAGTGCAATGAACCAACTCCCGAGTCTCTAGGACGTTCCTAAAAATTTTTTATTTTTTCCCATAGGAATGCATGGGTTAGGGTTAGGGTTAGGGTTAGGGTTGGAGCTAGGGTTAGGGTTAGGGTTAGGGTTGGAGTTAGGGTTAGTGTTGGAGCTAGGGTTAGGGTTGGGGTTAGGGTTGGAGTTAGGGTTAGTGTTGGAGCTAGGGTTAGGGTTGGGCTTGGAGCTAGGATTTTTCTGAGTGCACTGAACCAACTCCCGAGTCTCTAGGACGTTCCTAAAAAAATTTGATTTTTTCCCATAGGAATGCATGGGTTAGGGTTAGGGTTAGGGTTAGGGTTGGAGCTAGGGTTAGGGTTAGGGTTAGGGTTGGAGTTAGGGTTAGTGTTGGAGCTAGGGTTAGGGTTGGGCTTGGAGCTAGGATTTTTCTGAGTGCAATGAACCAACTCCCGAGTCTCTAGGACGTTCCTAAAAAAATTTGATTTTTTCCCATAGGAATGCATGGGTTAGGGTTAGGGTTAGGGTTGGAGCTAGGGTTAGGGTTAGGGTTAGGGTTGGAGTTAGGGTTAGTGTTGGAGCTAGGGTTAGGGTTGGGCTTGGAGCTAGGATTTTTCTGAGTGCAATGAACCAACTCCCGAGTCTCTAGGACGTTCCTAAAAAAATTTGATTTTTTCCCATAGGAATGCATGGGTTAGGGTTAGGGTTAGGGTTGGAGCTAGGGTTAGGGTTAGGGTTGGAATTAGGGTTAGTGTTGGAGCTAGGGTTAGGGTTGGGCTTGGAGCTAGGATTTTTCTGAGTGCAATGAACCAACTCCCGAGTCTCTAGGACGTTCCTAAAAAAATTTGATTTTTTTCCCATAGGAATGCATGGGTTAGGGTTAGGGTTAGGGTTGGAGCTAGGGTTAGGGTTAGGGTTAGGGTTGGAGTTAGGGTTAGTGTTGGAGCTAGGGTTAGGGTTGGGCTTGGAGCTAGGATTTTTCTGAGTGCACTGAACCAACTCCCGAGTCTCTAGGACGTTCCTAAAAAAATTTGATTTTTTCCCATAGGAATGCATGGGTTAGGGTTAGGGTTAGGGTTAGGGTTGGAGTTAGGGTTAGTGTTGGAGCTAGGGTTAGGGTTGGGCTTGGAGCTAGGATTTTTCTGAGTGCAATGAACCAACTCCCGAGTCTCTAGGACGTTCCTAAAAAAATTTGATTTTTTCCCATAGTAATGCATGGGTTAGGGTTAGGGTTAGGGTTGGAGCTAGGGTTAGGGTTAGGGTTAGGGTTGGAGTTAGGGTTAGTGTTGGAGCTAGGGTTAGGGTTGGGCTTGGAGCTAGGATTTTTCTGAGTGCAATGAACCAACTCCCGAGTCTCTAGGACGTTCCTAAAAAAATTTGATTTTTTCCCATAGGAATGCATGGGTTAGGGTTAGGGTTAGGGTTGGAGCTAGGGTTAGGGTTAGGGTTAGGGTTGGAGTTAGGGTTAGTGTTGGAGCTAGGGTTAGGGTTGGGCTTGGAGCTAGGATTTTTCTGAGTGCACTGAACCAACTCCCGAGTCTCTAGGACGTTCCTAAAAAATTTGATTTTTTTCCCATAGGAATGCATGGGTTAGGGTTAGGGTTAGGGTTGGAGCTAGGGTTAGGGTTAGGGTTAGGGTTGGAGTTAGGGTTAGTGTTGGAGCTAGGGTTAGGGTTGGGCTTGGAGCTAGGATTTTTCTGAGTGCACTGAACCAACTCCCGAGTCTCTAGGACGTTCCTAAAAAAATTTTGATTTTTTCCCATAGGAATGCATGGGTTAGGGTTAGGGTTAGGGTTAGGGTTGGAGCTAGGGTTAGGGTTAGGGTTAGGGTTGGAGTTAGGGTTAGTGTTGGAGCTAGGGTTAGGGTTGGGCTTGGAGCTAGGATTTTTCTGAGTGCAATGAACCAACTCCCGAGTCTCTAGGACGTTCCTAAAAAAATTTGATTTTTTCCCATAGGAATGCATGGGTTAGGGTTAGGGTTAGGGTTAGGGTTGGAGCTAGGGTTAGGGTTAGGGTTAGGGTTGGAGTTAGGGTTAGTGTTGGAGCTAGGGTTAGGGTTGGGGTTAGGGTTGGAGTTAGGGTTAGTGTTGGAGCTAGGGTTAGGGTTGGGCTTGGAGCTAGGATTTTTCTGAGTGCACTGAACCAACTCCCGAGTCTCTAGGACGTTCCTAAAAAAATTTGATTTTTTCCCATAGGAATGCATGGGTTAGGGTTAGGGTTAGGGTTAGGGTTGGAGCTAGGGTTAGGGTTAGGGTTAGGGTTGGAGTTAGGGTTAGTGTTGGAGCTAGGGTTAGGGTTGGGCTTGGAGCTAGGATTTTTCTGAGTGCAATGAACCAACTCCCGAGTCTCTAGGACGTTCCTAAAAAAATTTGATTTTTTCCCATAGTAATGCATGGGTTAGGGTTAGGGTTAGGGTTGGAGCTAGGGTTAGGGTTAGGGTTAGGGTTGGAGTTAGGGTTAGTGTTGGAGCTAGGGTTAGGGTTGGGCTTGGAGCTAGGATTTTTCTGAGTGCAATGAACCAACTCCCGAGTCTCTAGGACGTTCCTAAAAAAATTTGATTTTTTCCCATAGTAATGCATGGGTTAGGGTTAGGGTTAGGGTTGGAGCTAGGGTTAGGGTTAGGGTTAGGGTTGGAGTTAGGGTTAGTGTTGGAGCTAGGGTTAGGGTTGGGCTTGGAGCTAGGATTTTTCTGAGTGCACTGAACCAACTCCCGAGTCTCTAGGACGTTCCTAAAAAAATTTGATTTTTTCCCATTGGAATGCATGGGTTAGGGTTAGGGTTAGGGTTGGAGCTAGGGTTAGGGTTAGGGTTAGGGTTGGAGTTAGGGTTAGTGTTGGAGCTAGGGTTAGGGTTGGGCTTGGAGCTAGGATTTTTCTGAGTGCACTGAACCAACTCCCGAGTCTCTAGGACGTTCCTAAAAAAATTTGATTTTTTCCCATAGGATTGCATGGGTTAGGGTTAGGGTTAGGGTTAGGGTTGGAGCTAGGGTTAGGGTTAGGGTTAGGGTTGGAGTTAGGGTTAGTGTTGGAGCTAGGGTTAGGGTTGGGCTTGGAGCTAGGATTTTTCTGAGTGCAATGAACCAACTCCCGAGTCTCTAGGACGTTCCTAAAAAAATTTGATTTTTTCCCATAGGAATGCATGGGTTAGGGTTAGGGTTAGGGTTGGAGCTAGGGTTAGGGTTAGGGTTGGAGTTAGGGTTAGTGTTGGAGCTAGGGTTAGGGTTGGGCTTGGAGCTAGGATTTTTCTGAGTGCAATGAACCAACTCCCGAGTCTCTAGGACGTTCCTAAAAAAATTTGATTTTTTCCCATAGTAATGCATGGGTTAGGGTTAGGGTTAGGGTTGGAGCTAGGGTTAGGGTTAGGGTTAGGGTTGGAGTTAGGGTTAGTGTTGGAGCTAGGGTTAGGGTTGGGCTTGGAGCTAGGATTTTTCTGAGTGCAATGAACCAACTCCCAAGTCTCTAGGACGTTCCTAAAAAAATTTGATTTTTTCCCATAGGAATGCATGGGTTAGGGTTAGGGTCAGGGTTAGGGTTGGAGCAAGGGTTAGGGTTAGGGTTAGGGTTGGAGTTAGGGTTAGTGTTGGAGCTAGGGTTAGGGTTGGGCTTGGAGCTAGGATTTTTCTGAGTGCACTGAACCAACTCCCGAGTCTATAGGACGTTCCTAAAAAATTTGATTTTTTCCCATAGGAATGCATGGGTTAGGGTTAGGGTTAGGGTTGGAGCTAGGGTTAGGGTTAGGGTTAGGGTTGGAGTTAGGGTTAGTGTTGGAGCTAGGGTTAGGGTTGGGCTTGGAGCTAGGATTTTTCTGAGTGCAATGAACCAACTCCCGAGTCTCTAGGACATTCCTAAAAAAATTTGATTTTTTCCCATAGGAATGCATGGGTTAGGGTTAGGGTTAGGGTTGGAGCTAGGGTTAGGGTTAGGGTTAGGGTTGGAGTTAGGGTTAGTGTTGGAGCTAGGGTTAGGGTTGGGCTTGGAGCTAGGATTTTTCGGAGTGCAATGAACCAACTCCCGAGTCTCTAGGACGTTCCTAAATAATTTTTATTTTTTCCCATAGGAATGCATGGGTTAGGGTTAGGGTTAGGGTTGGAGCTAGGGTTAGGGTTAGGGTTAGGGTTGGAGTTAGGGTTAGTGTTGGAGCTAGGGTTAGGGTTGGGCTTGGAGCTAGGATTTTTCTGAGTGCAATGAACCAACTCCCGAGTCTCTAGGACGTTCCTAAAAAAATTAGATTTTTTCCCATAGGAATGCATGGGTTAGGGTTAGGGTTAGGGTTGGAGCTAGGGTTAGGGTTAGGGTTAGGGTTGGAGTTAGGGTTAGTGTTGGAGCTAGGGTTAGGGTTGGGCTTGGAGCTAGGATTTTTCTGAGTGCAATGAACCAACTCCCGAGTCTCTAGGACGTTCCTAAAAAAATTTGATTTTTTCCCATAGGAATGCATGGGTTAGGGTTAGGGTTAGGGTTGGAGCTAGGGTTAGGGTTAGGGTTAGGGTTGGAGTTAGGGTTAGTGTTGGAGCTAGGGTTAGGGTTGGGCTTGGAGCTAGGATTTTTCTGAGTGCACTGAACCAACTCCCGAGTCTCTAGGACGTTCCTAAAAAAATTTGATTTTTTCCCATAGGAATGCATGGGTTAGGGTTAGGGTTAGGGTTGGAGCTAGGGTTAGGGTTAGGGTTAGGGTTGGAGTTAGGGTTAGTGTTGGAGCTAGGGTTAGGGTTGGGCTTGGAGCTAGGATTTTTCTGAGTGCACTGAACCAACTCCCGAGTCTCTAGGACGTTCCTAAAAAAATTTGATTTTTTCCCATAGGAATGCATGGGTTAGGGTTAGGGTCAGGGTTAGGGTTGGAGCTAGGGTTAGGGTTAGGGTTAGGGTTGGAGTTAGGGTTAGTGTTGGAGCTAGGGTTAGGGTTGGGCTTGGAGCTAGGATTTTTCTGAGTGCAATGAACCAACTCCCGAGTCTCTAGGACGTTCCTAAAAAAATTTGATTTTTTCCCATAGGAATGCATGGGTTAGGGTTAGGGTTAGGGTTAGGGTTGGAGCTAGGGTTAGGGTTAGGGTTAGGGTTGGAGTTAGGGTTAGTGTTGGAG